ATGGTATTCCCAAAAAAGCTCATGTGTGAGACAATGCAAGAAAGCTGAGAGGTTAAATGATTGGGTTGTGACAGCTTCAAACTAATCAGTGCATAAATCCCTTGTTAGGGATTAACTGAGTTGTAACTATAGGCAGGTAGGGTGTGGCTAATAGAGGTAGGTCAACAGGAGCATTTCTTTGGCTACGTATTTTTCCCTGAAGAGTGGAGCTCGCTCTCTCTGCTTCCTGATGCCATGTCCTGACCAGTTTTACTCCATCACAATCTTCCACCATGATGTTCTGCTTCATCTTGGCCCAGAGCAATGGAGCCAGCTGTGTATGGACTGAGACCTCTGAAACTGAACTTCAAATAAACTTTTCCTCCTATAATTGTCCTGGTCAGGTTGTTTTGGTCCCAGCAGGAGAGGGGAGGGGAAGCTGAATAAAACTCTGAGGGAAGATGATCACAGATACTGGGCCAGCTTTGACAACTTAACAAATCTTGTCACAAAATAAAATAGGATAAGACTGTGGATGTAAATCAGAGGTAGAATGCTTCTGGTAAAATACTTCTGCTTTGATTCCCAACTCCATGTCCTTACAGTAGGGTTGATAGCTGCTCTTCTATTTAGCAAAAGATGAATCTCTGTCATCTCAGGAATTTTCTTCCTTTCATATGAATGGGCTGTTGTTGGCCATGATGGAAAAATCATTTTTCTACTACAAATGCATCATTCTTATCAAGAATTTTCCCCTAGATGCTGATAACAGATTGACCCTTAATCATTAGTTTTTCAGATTTTGGTGTATTTGTCTCTTTCTAAACCCTCGTAGGTTATTCGTAGGTTATTTTTCTGGAAATTGTGAGAAAACATTCTAGCTTTGTAGATTTTAAAGCAGATTTTTTTAATTAAAGAAAATTAAATTATATTTAAAATTTTTGTTTCTCTGAAAATTTTTGTTTCTCTGTACACTTCTTCCCAGGGAGTGAAAATATAAAGACTACAAAGCAGAGAGTTTTCCTTGAAAGAGCACCCTTATATCAAGACACTTGAAATTAAAGCTCTAAGCTAAGTAGTTGTGTTTCTCATACTTAAAGGAAATAGAGCTGTTGTTTTATCAAATAGAATATGAAATAGAGTCAATCTGTTATTAAAATCTAGAAGAAAATTATTGATAAGAATGATGCATTTGTAGTAGGAAAAATGTTTTTTCCATCATGGCCAACAACAGCCCATGCATACTAACAATAATATTGAAATATGTACTCTATCTTACTGTTTTCCTCTATCTACCATAACCACTTTCACTCATTGATAAGAATAAAATTCAAATCAGACTTGAAATACCTTGAAAAAATTGTAATAATGATAAAACCCCAAAGATTATGAAGTAACAATATTGTAATATTGAAACAAAAAGATATAACAGAGCATTGAGAAAGATTTTTTTGCCCTTAATTGCTAAAGAAAATATAGCCAAGCCATTTGTTCATCTTTACTGAGTGGTACCTAGTGGATTTAGTCAATATCATAAATAATATCTAGGTAATAAAGGGCTTTCTTAACCTTTTATATTTCTAGAGAGAGGAGAGAAAAGGAAAATGTGTTTCTGAGTAGAACTTGGTGATCTTTATACAGGTGAGAATTTTGATATTCATATTCAGTCTTTTTGGTCATCCAGAAATCCAAAATAATTGCTTAAATAAATAAAATAATCAATTGATGACACTATGAATATATAAAAATTTCATCTAAACTCTGTCTTTCATCAAATGTTTTAGTCAACTTTTTTGCTACTATTCCAAAAGACCTAATAAGAACAATTTTAGAGGAGGAATAATTTATATGGGGGCTCACAGTTTGAGAGGTCTTAGTCCATAGATGGCTACCTCCACTCCTTGAAGCTAGAGGCAAGAGCATCATGATGGAAATATATGGCAGAGGAACAGGGGACATGGCACCAGGAAGCAAAGACAGACACTCTGCTGACCAGATATGAAACATATGCTTCAAACCCATGTCCCCATTGACCCACTTCATCGAGACACACCCTACTTGCTTTCAGTTACACTTAGTTAATCCTTATCAGGGGATTGACACATTGATCAGGTTAATGCTCTCATAACCCATCATTTCATCTCTAAACTTTCTTGCATCATCTCACAGATGAGCTTTTGGAGGACACCTAAATCATAACACCTGTAACAATTTGATGATCCATTCTACAAGGTTATTGTAAAATTATTTTGTGTAGTAAAGTGTTGAACTCAGCCTGCTAATTGACTCTTTTACCCACTAGCTGATGGCCTTGTGCAAGTTATTTAATCTCTATTTCTCTTTCTGTAAATGAGATGACAATACCTCTGAAGAGTATTACAAAAACTATAATGACCGAAATCTAAAGTTTATACAACAATGCCTAAGTGGTCATAGTTATTAGTTATAGATGTGGTATAATCAATATTAAAATATATATCTTTAAGTACCAGTCTGTTTAGTTTGTAACCAAGCATCAAGAATAGAGTCTGGTGCTCAGTGGTAGGTTAAGGTGTGTGACCCACTGTTACTTGACTGGTGACCTAGAAAAAGCAGCTCTGTTTAAAGAAATTCAAATTCTAAATGCTTTTAAACAACGTAGAAAAAAAAATTACTCTGACATTCTGTCTTGGTTTCTGCTGAGAATTCCTAAATGTCAAATTATCTGCCCTTGAACAAAAAATTTCAGTTACTGGAATTTGGATACATGAGAAGTCCCAAGTTTAAAAAAGGAGAATTAGCATAAAAGACCACCGGAGTACTTGACCTCCACCTATGAGGTTGGTATCAAGTACAAAAAAAAAAAAAAAAAAAAAAAAAATAGATCCAGATAGAATTGAGAGGATTAGCCAGGTTATCTGAGTCAGAACAAGAAACCTCTTTTGTTAGTGACTCGGTGATATAGAGAGCTAGTTCAGGCAGCTACCTGCTATAGGGAAGAGTTGAAAAGCTTCCAATGCTTAGAGATGTCTTGAAAATGGGATAGAACAAGCCTTGCATGGAAAACACTGAATCATATTAGTATATTTTTCTTGACCTCTGATGAAGAGTAAGAATCAGGAAAAAAAAATTAGACCATAGTAGTCCTTCTGAATGTTGTTCACATAAATTGAACATTTTAGGTATAGATAAAATTGAAGTCCTCCCCCATTTTTATTTTGGTTTTTGCTGCATATTATTAGGAACTTTTATCTAGATTGAATATCACAGACTTAGAAGAAGCATTGAGTCTGTTGGTTTCCACGGCTTGCCTCAAAGAAACAACTTCACCCCACACTAGGAAACTGAATCTACTTTTCCACATTATCAAATTTATGTCTGTATGCTGTTTATGGTGTTTGTAAACCCTAAAAAGTGTTATATGATACTGGATATTGGCAGGATTTTTTTTTTTTTTTTTGGCTGTAGCATCTGTTCAGAGTGTCAGAGTACAAATTTAGAAACTTTATATATAGCCAGTTCGTCATCTTTTCACCAACTGATTTGCTTTAAATTTATCAAGTAAAGTTACATTTGTTGGAGGATCTTTCCACATAAAATACAGACACCAGATACAAAATAGAGGTATGTGCCTGATATTACTGATCCTTTTAAAAGACTTGGCATTTAAATAAAATATGAAGCTGGGTTATGTAAGATCTCCAATACCACTAGTTAGTACATTACATAAAGATTTGCATGCTGTAAAAACTCAGTATTTTCTCAAATGAAATTACTTTCCATGCTTCATAACAACATGTTTTTATGACTGATATGGTTATAACACAAGAAATTTTAAGTTATTTATATTGTAAGTAGTTAAAAGATTTATTTCTAAGTCCTGATTTTAGTTCATATAATTCATACCTATACTTTTATACACATTCTTAATGAAAATTCTTGATTTATTAAATCAATGTATAAATTGCTGCATCTAATTTTAGAAAAACTTTCTGTATTTTTACTGAACTAAAAAATTTGATATATTTAACAATTGCTACTTGAATTTGTTTTTTTATTAATGAAGCTCTTAAAGTCAATGCTGCTTATGCAATTTCATTTTAAATTTATTATAGGTAGTATTCCATAAATGATTATAATTATATGAATAACTGCTTTTGACTTATAAATTTACTTATTTAAAACAAGAAGTTTATTAAATAAAAATAAAGATTAATATGTTGAGTTGAAGAATCATATCTGTTCAACTAAAAAAGTCTCTAGTCTCTAATTTTTATTTAGAGTTACTATTACTTTCTAACAGCTTCTTTTTCCACCACCTCTTTCTCCTCTTCATTTTTTCTTTTACCTGGTAATTCTGTCCTTGAGATCTAAGTCAAAGTCATGCATTCCTCTTCACTCCAAGAAGTGAGTAGAAACAATATAGAGAGAATGTAGGAAAAAAAAATCTATTCCATTACTAGTATTGTGCCTTCCTCCCTCTGACTCAGTGAGAAGCCCACGTACAACATCTAAGAATTAGGAAATAGGTTTGTAGAGTTTTGTTTTTACTCTGGAGAAAAGAGAGGCTGTTGGCAAACTGTAAGTCTCTAGGAAAATCAAACTCAGTCTCAATATTATTTTCAGTTATTTACTTTCTGACTTTGGTGTGTGTGTGTGTGTGTGTGTGTGTGTGTGTATTTTAAGTGAAAAACTGACACTGCTTAAGAGAACACTTTTCAGATGTGTACCGAGTTTTAAGCTTTTTCTCTTAAACTACTAAAAATAGGATATTTGGGGAAGAATGTTAGTTCTTTTAGGCCAACAAAAGTCAATTTAGTCAAAAGTCACAACCTGAAGATATTAAAACTCCAGAAAAAGTAGTTAAAAGTAACACATTTTGTAAATGACTTTCTAGCATTTAGTTCCATAATTCTTTTCACAATACTTAATTTCCTCTTCCAAAGAATACCTTTTGATAGGAATTTGGCCATAATTATATCATCATGTAAGTGTCTCAAAAACTTATGGATTCATGAACTTAAAAAACTCCTCTTATTTTTTAGGATGTCAAACCTGGGACAATTTGACACTGACTTTTACCAATCTAATTATACCATTGATAATCAGGAGCAAAGTTATAATGATTCTAATGCCTATGGAAATCTTTATGGATCAAGAGAGTAAGTATTTTATATTAAGTCAATATACACCCATTTTGAGAACTGTTCATATGATAACAAGGGATTTCAAGTAGAAGAATTTCTTTGGGAGAAGACAAGCTTCTCCTTACCATATCTCAGTAAAGTACCCACATTGAAATAATAGGAAAGGGCAGAGAAATTAATCCAATTTTCTGTGAATGCCCCTTTTCACTTGGAATCCATGCCAAGTTAATATCTTCTCTCTCTATTTTTTTCAACTAGCACTTAAGAGGGCACCTGAATGCAAGCACTAGGCAAGTGCTTATTCCTTTTACCCGATCTTTTTCAAGACACTGCTTGCAAAATAGATTTCATCTAATTTAATAAAATTTTAAGTGTTTTACTTTGTGTCTGAAATTAAGACTATTACAAACCAAAGATAAGGGTTTACACTGGAATCCATCGTCTTCCCTCACAAAATTTGAGATTTTATTTTTGGGAGTTGGGTAATTAAATATGCATTTGTAATATACAGATAGTAGAAAAAATGCTATGATGGAATCATCATGAATATATTTCACAATGTATTCATTATTTGAGATAAAATTTGAACTTGAACTGAAAATAAAACAATTATTAAGAATTAAGTATTTGCCTTTACTCATGACAAAGTAATGTATATATAGTGAGGAGCATCTGGTTCAAGTTCTGCCTTTACCATTGGTTGTTCTCATGACATTGGGAAGACTTCTCTGTCTTCATCTGAGACATAAGGACATTACTCATAACCACTTCATGGAATTGTAATAAAAATGATTATGATGGTATGTAGGAAAGTGTACATTTAAAAACACAATTTAATTGTTATATAAGTATAGTTTTAAAAAGTAATTAATAAGCCTTAAGTCACTTAAACTTACTATTTATTTGGTCATATTATTCTTTTCCAATGATGTTTTATGGGTCTGTTAGTGAACTAGGCACTTCAACTTTCATAATAACTAAATTTACCAGGCAAAACTTTCTCTGTTAGGAACAATTATAAGCTTTATAAATTAATTCACTGTATCTTCAAATAACCTTATAAGATAGGTACTACTACTATTCTCATTTTACATATGAGAAAATGGACACACAGAGAAATTAAGAAACTTTCTCAAGGTTACTAATAAGAAATGGGGTTAGGATGTAAATCCGGTGTTGTTTGATGAGGCCCACAATGATGGTTAACATATGATTTGTTGTATAATGAAGATATATTAGCATAAAATGGTGCTGTTAATAATAATGGTGAGATAGTACTAATAAACTGGACCACTATAGGCAAACTAGGATGTGTGGTATCCATGCCCGTCCAGAAAATCTAGGCTAAATAACCACACAACCAAGATTCTTAAAGGCTTTTTAAAACAAACAATAAAAATTACCTTGAAATCTCCAAATGGAAAGACGAAAAGACAGAATAAATATAAGAGGCACTGGGAAGCTCTTCTGTTCAACTCTGCTTGGGGAAATTTGGTCACTGTTTTCATTGACTGATCCATCCTACCCACATAGGCAAATGGATACTACTTTCACAAGCTTCTTCCTAGCCACACTTGCTGAACCATGCTCTAAGGATAGGGAAATGTATTGGGATTTATTTACAACTGTAAAAGTGAAGTATCTGGAATTTTATCTCATTCAGATCCCTGTTCTATGTTGTCTGGCATTAGTCAGGTGACCTTTTATGTCTTACACTTTGGAAAGTAAAGTAACATCATAAATGTACTTGCAGCAAAGAGAGTAGTATTAACTACCATCTACATTTTCAGACTGAAAAAATTAAGTACAACAAAAGACAAAAGTTTTATCCTTAAGCAAGAACTTATGGATCACAGCTTTCTCCATCCACCCCATCTGACCTAATTTTCTTTCCCCATTTGATTTTTCATATCAACATTTCCCAGAAGTCAAGATGATAAAGAGATGGAAATTAATGTAACCAAATGAGGGCAGCTTACAATTTTGTTGATTGGGGTAATGGCCTAGCCTGTTTCAGATGCTGTTATGGTTTGGATGTAAGGTATTCTCACCAAAGTTTCTGTGTTAATGCAGAAATGTTCAGAAGTGAAATGATTAGACTACTCTCAGTGACCTAGTCAGTCCATCCTAGTGGACTGGGTGATAACTGCAGGCAGGTCAAGTATGGAGGTTGGTCACTGGGGGTATGCCCTGGAAGGGTTCATCTTCCCTGCTGTCCCATTCTTTCTGTCTGCTTCTAGCAACCATGAAGTAAGTGGCATTCCTCCACTGCCTCACTTGGGTCCAGAGCATGGAGTAGGCACACCATGGATTAAACCCCTGAAACCAGTTGAACATCACAATGGAAGTAGAAACTTTTAATTTGGGAAAAACAAAACCTCTAATAAAGTATGTAGCTAATGATTATGTGAAAAGGCACAGAAAAGTGACACTACACAACAAACATATCTCTAAACACAAAAATTATAACTGAGCTTTCTTATGATGATTTTTAAAATATTTGCATTAGAGGATACATTTTAAGTCATACTGAGTCCAAAACAGGTAAAAATATTTCCTGATTGTGACCACCTAAATACGTTAGTGTAAAGTAAAGATAAGATTTTCAAAGCTAATTGAAGTTTTATGTGAGTATGAGTGGTGAAAGGGGGGATATTGAAAAAATGGTGATTGTTTTATAGCTCAGAGACCGAATTCCTGGTATGGGTATAGTGGAGATTCTTCTGATAGGAAAACACAGGATGGGTAGGATATTGTGGAAATTATTTCAGGTGTTCCAGGGAAACCAAAATGTGTAAAAGCTGAAGGTAACTAGTGTATAAGGGCCACAAACTCAGCTCTCTGCTAATGTCAGTTTCATTGAGGAAGGGACCCCAATCACAGATGCACACTATTCCTGGGTGCAAGGAAGTTATTTAAACTGCATCAAAAAGTCTCAGGAAGCGAAGAGCTTGTAAATGTTTAACTAATGCTTATTACTCACTTTTTTTTTTTTTTTTAACTTTTATTTATTTATTTATTTATTTGTTTGTGATTTGTGATAATATGTTCATACATATACACAACAAAACAGTATAATTTGACCAGTTTCATTGCCCAGTACCTCCCCTTTCCCTCCACTCTCTCCCCTGATCCCCTTCTTTTATTCTATTTTTTAAATTTATTCTAAGTAGTTATACTTTACTCATTTCTCATGTACTCAACACTATTCTAAGTCCTCTACTTATTTTTGCTAATTTAGTTCACAACAATGCTATGACTTCTGTTCTATATTCATCTTACAGATGAAAAAAACTGAGGCATAGAATGTGAAGTGGTTTCCTGAGATTATAAAATGGCAATTCAGTCACAAGGAGTTTCAACTCCATAGGTTGGGTTTGCTAAGCCACATGTCTTGGTTCAGGAAAAATCCTATGATTGGAAGATGGTTAAAGGCAGAGATGTTAACTCCACAGCCTTAGAAGTAAAATAATGGAAATATGACCAAGAATATTGCTGATTGTTCTAAAGGAGCTTTATAGTCACCTTCTAGTTGTTTCAAGTGGCATTTACAGAAAGAGGAGATGTTTACTAACAAAGATAATGTTTAAATCCTTCAATCCATAGTCCACTTCTTTTGGTCTAATTCAGTAGAAATTTATTTCATCTAGAATAATTTGATGACTTAGAAATCATCACAGTTTCACTATCTGCCTTTTTATAGTGCTAATAAAAATGCTGTATAATTGAAAACAAAATGATTTTTGGTACACTCTACAAAATCATCACTGCTATGTGGGGTACAGATATGATGTACCTTTAAGGTCTTAAGTATTGAGTGTAGTAATCTGACATTATTTCTAATAGGTTAATCATTCAGTGTTATAGGTAATAACACTGAATGATGTTATAGGTAATACAAAATTTCCAGTCCTATTCTCTCTGTTTTTTTTTCTTTTTTGTGTGTGTGTGTGTGAAAAGATATAGAAAGCTTAACATATATCACTAAGAATATAAAAGAACTTGCTGGTGTAGCCATTTTGAATTGGCACAACCTAGTAAAACGGATAATACCAGAAAACATGGGACTAAGTAGATTCATAGTATGTGGTTAAAATCATAATTCCTCATAACACTTTCAGGAAAAATGCCTGAAAGGCAATTGAGTTATTTATAGAGTGTTTGGGGGTAAAACTATGAACTGTTGATGTGATTCTTTTGGTATCACTTCAGTTTTGTTCATTAAGACGTAATAGTAAATATTATAGTCAGTGTTTACAATGTTGAAGTTATAAAACAAAAAAGAATTTTAATTTTTACAGTCATGGAATGTGAACATGATAATTTTTCTAAATAAATCATTTTGACTTTTCCTCAAAATGGAAAAATTTTAAAATGCTCACTATCTTAAATATGTGGTGGAGAAATTTTAATATTATGCCCCATTATAATAAGGATGAGAGAGACCAAGCTGCTGTTGGAGAAGTTTTACTGGATGAGGGAGCAAAGCAGGATAGAAGAAAGAGGAGGGGACAGGATTTGGCTGGTGATGGGCATATATGTATTTTCTAATGTGTAAAAATGTGTTTTTCCCTTTTGTGGGAGACACTGGGTTAAAATAGCTACCCATGTTGAGTCCCTCCATTCACAGAGCTTGTTCTACAGGTAGTAACTGTGGAAGTTATACTTCCTCTAACCTAGTTGGCAATGCCTGAGCATGATTCATGGTGAAGCCAGGCAAGTATGTCAATGAAAATCTTATTTAGATACATCATTGGGTCATCTTTCTTTGCCCTTTGTATTTTTCTAGAAAGGCATACATTAAAAAAGATACACTAGGGCAATTTTACTGATCAGTTTGTCATTTGTTTTACTGGTACTTTTGATAGTTTACCTACTCTATTAGAAAGAGGGGTGGGGGGATTACTAAATGAAAACTATAGTAATCAGCCTATACTGTGGGAAGTTCAAAAGGTTCCTTACCCTTAATGAGCTACAGTTGAGTTCGCGAATTATTAAATGTGTGTCTCTCCATCTCTATGGCTTTATTTGCTAAAATAGTTATTTTATTGATCAAGTTTATACACATAAAAGATTAAGTGTGTTATTCTTATACTTTATATTAAGATTAATGTCAGAAGGAAATATTCAAAAGCCATTCTGTAAATATTTTAGCATGAGCAGATCACAGTGGGTCACAAAGTTCAAATTTTTGGACCTTATCTTTAGCATAGGCAAAAGACCTTAGGTAAAAAAACTTAAACGTGTTAATGGGAAATATTTTATACTTCATCCCCTGGTAAAAGCTATACACCTATACAAAATTCACCAATAACTTTACCACTCTTTCTTTTCCTTTCTTCCTTTCTCTAGTTCTAGTAAGACATTATTTACAAAGATCAATATTTTCCCACTTCCTCACAAACTGTAAAAATAAATAAATAAATAAAACAAAACCATGTTCAGAAAGGAATTGAAATATTATGTCCTGGCAAAACTAAATTACTCATTTCAAAAAAGAAACTAAAGCAAGCTGTAGGATACATTCATTGATTAGTAATATTTTTCTGGGAATGGCCAGAACTGGACAGCGCATTCCATTATGGATAGTAGGTAGTTCATGTATTTATTATTCCTTTGAATTTGACTATACTACTAAAATTGTGGTTCTCACTTGTTATTTCTACAGATTTGTAAGGGCTTCACAATTGGTGATTGCATCCTCTTGGGAGCAAAGCACCATCTAGAAAGCTTCCATGAAGTGTATTCAGCACCTGCAAAGCTTTGGCATGATACTGAGAGAGTCATTTTGTATCCATAAGCCTCTATTTCCTTTCCTATGAGATGGGATTACAAATACAGTTTTAACCATACAAAGTTTTAATTCAGAAAATATAAGGGGCAGTGCCCAGCACATTGTACATGCTCAATTAAAATTGGTAGGTATAGCTCATTCTTCTACAAGTCTTTTTAAGGCCAGTTAATTATTTTGTGGGATTTTAAAAATTACAGTTAAATTTGAAGTAGGCTACTTTACTTATAAGTAAATATTCATAAAAGCTAAGTGAATTCATAAAAGGAAAATTTATATGTCCCCTCTTGATTTGTCATGATATCCTTTCATTACATGTATAAATATCAGTATTTTCCCTTTTTTAGACAGCAAGCCAGTAAGCAGCCTCAGCCTGACCCTCTTGTTCCTCCAGAGATGCTCATGCCGTCAGGTTATGCAGGACAATTTTTTCAGCCAGGATCCAACTCGGATTATTATTCACAATCTCCTTACATTGACAGTTTTGATGAAGAGCCTCCTTTGCTAGAAGATAAGTTAAGGAAGTGTTATTAATGTGTGCACAGCTCGAAGAATAATAGCAATAATCAGCACTTAATGTGTGCTGTCAGCATGCTGCGTACAGTGTTTATGTATAATTGTTTCAGCATAACAAGAGCCTGCCAAACCAACACATGGAAATCATTGAAAATCTGTTGCATGTTTGTGTAGAGAAATTTGGTAGTAGATATGCGCTATTATTATGATATGGCTGTAGTTATTAATGTTTATTCACTCTTTCTTAAATTTTGACTCTCTCAGCAAAGACAGCTTTTGACAAAAGTACTAATACCAAAGCAACCACCCTTCCTGCCCCAATTAATGAAGCACTTTATATTTTATTTTCTGCTATTTGCCTGGGAGCAAAGGGAATAGTTTTTAAATTAATATTTGTTGTTGACAAGCCTGCTTCTCTCCCCTGACTTACATGAACCCTCTCATCTCAGCTTGGTATGACTAGGCAGAGAAGAAAATGTGATTTTAGAAAATGATGCTGCTTTTGAAAAGGAAACCCTGAACACTTGAAACTGAGGTCCCTGGGGTGGGGGGGTTCAGAGGTGTATCGATCCATTGATTTTTGTTTTCAATACGTTCAGCCATGCTAAAATGTCAGTATAATACTAGAAACATGTGTATTAAAAAGTGAAAACTCAAATGGACTTAAATTTGAGACCTAAGAAGGTATATTTACTGATTAGCTACTCCAAGTCCTTTGCATGTACTAATTCTTTATATGAGCCATCTTCTTTTTCTGCCTAAAAACTGGAAAACAAAATGAATGATTTAAACCATTCAAAAAGATACCAGAAATTGTTTAATACATCCATTGGTTCTTTAGAAGCCACTTAAGTTTCGGGGTCAGTTATGTTTTTACCGGTTCATTGTATTTTGTCTCTGCAATTAATAAACACCTAGTTTAATGAGAGTGACCTATAGTGTTTAAGTTATTATTAACTGAAACCTTTACGTTGACTCCACCAACATCTTTGCTTTTAAAAAAACTATCAGTTGTCTAATTGTATCCAGTATATTTGGAAACATGAATGAAAATATAAAAATCACTCCAAATTGAAACTCCAAGACATGATTACCATTTATAATTTGGTGTATTTCTGTCCAGTCTGTGTGCTGGTTTCCTATGAATGGTGTATATATTTTATATGTAGGTATATACACACTTAAAAATGAAATATTATTTTCATTGTATGTATATGAATTTGAGTATTTAAAGGTGAAAGTTGTATCATTCCATGGGTATGAAGTTTTATATTCTTTTCATTTATATTTTATCATGAGTATTTCCATAATGAATTCTTAAAAGTCATTAAATATTATTTGAAAACATGATTTATAATGGTTTCCTAATATTCTGGCATAAAAGTACAATGTTTTATACCTTAAAAGTTGTTCCTTATAAAAAGTAATGCTTTGGTGAGCATCGTGCTGAAAATCCTTTGACCTGTACAAAGTCTTATCCTTGGAGTGTATTCATAACTTGAAATGACTAGGTCAACCAAGTCTCAGAAATGAATTTTCCATTAGACCAGTGCAGGAGAATCTGTGATATATCTCTTTTGATTTGATAGGAAGAAAGGAAAAAGGAAGACTTTGCATTTCTTAATTCCTAAAAATTTTTGACATTTTAAAAACAAGTTTATTGACCATTTTTACTTCTTCCTATTTTATTTTTATTTTAGTCATATTTACTAGAAATTTTTTAATTTTTTAATATATATAGTTTAATTTATATAGTAAAGGTATAACTTTCTGGAATATGTATTTCAAACATTTCTTCTTAACTTGTGTTTGCCATCTGATTTGGTCATGGATCATTGGGAAACAGAAATTTTAATGTTTATATTTTAAAATCAAGAATACTTTTGTTGGAAACTTTTCTTTCCAATTGCTGTGTTGCTTAAACTCTATTTCTCTAGTTCCAGAAAATGTTCATACTCACTTATAGATTTTCAAATTTAGGATTATTCTTTTGCTTAGTATTTAGATTTTTGATTTGACAATTGTTTTAGTGTAACATGTGAAGGATTTTACATTAGTTTTCTCTTTAATGATTAACCAATTCTCTCCCACAAAATTTATTGAAAATATTTTTTCAGTTATCTGAAATGTTTCTATTGTTAGACTTCACTTCATTCTCCACTAATGTCTTTTTAACTTTGAATAGAAAATATGTTGTATTCCCCTTCCCATACATTTATGAATGAATTTTACATTTTTCCTCTTTGTTATCATCCCTACCATATACATACTAGAGAAAGGAGCACATGACATAATTCTATTTTTTGAATTTATGAACTATCTAGAGTTTTTGGTCCAGAATGTTCTTCAAACTGGATAGCTGTGAAAGTTGCAAGTTTCATCTGTCCAAAGACATGAAATATCCCTAAGCAGGCTTTCTAGGATGAGGTGATAAATGACATGTGTTAGTTTTTACTGAGCACATACCAAAATATCCTATAAAATTATGAAGCTATAATAATGAACATTCCATGCATAAAAGCATGTTAATTTGAAAATGTGTTCATTTACTCCTCCAGTGTTTACTTACTTCTCAAGGTAATCTAAGACACTCATTTGGTTTATGTAAGAATGATGACTTTTGCTTTTTGATAATGGACAGTCAATATGTTAACAAAGGCATTTTCAAGAATAATAGTCAATTTAAGACTGTCAGACTAAAAAAATACTGATATTGGTATTTGTAGTACAGCCTGATATTTGTATATAAAGGGTAATGCTACAATTTGCATAGAAAATATTTTATTTTTATAACATGTTATATACTTTACTACCACTAGATGACAGCAAAACAACAAACTTTGCATTCAAATTTCACAGTGGTTTTTATCTTTTATCTTTTATTTTGTATACAAAGGGGTTATATTAGGGTTTCTACAATTAACACATACTTATCTAATTCCCATACCTTGTAAAAAAATTGTGAACTAAATTTTTATGGATATAATTCAGTAAACAACATAAAATATTTTTCTTACAAAACTATTTAGTAGATTCTGCATTCATTCACTATTTCAGAATCAATATTGAAATATGTGTAGAATTTAATTATGCCATCAAGTAAATGGTAGAAATCAGTAATGATATTGCATAAATCATTTTCCCTCTCAGTTTCTTCAGAAATAACTATGCTTTTCAAGGAAAAAGGCATTTGGGATCAAAGGCTACTTTATTATGGCAAATATTGAAAATGCAATTAGCATGAATGTCAAAACTAAAAATAAAATTTGAAAATTACATAAGACTCAGATGAAGTTAAATGACATCATTTCTCAATTTTTAAAGTCTTCTGCTATTTTAAAAATTACATTAGAATTCTAACCTTATTTTAATGTTGGTGGATTTTTATATTTTTCCAAAGTGTCTATTTATTAAGAAATATATAAATGCATTGGAAAATAAAGGAAAAAACTTGGAAGTTGAAATATAAATGAGTTGCTCACTATTAATTTAACTAGTCAAATAATTTTTTTTTTTTTGGATGGCAAAGCATCTAACAGTGCATGAAACAAGAAGAAGAGTGTCTTTCCTACCCCAGTTCAGATCAGTATCTAGCTGATTCTGTTAATATTACTGCATTGTTAAAACATGCCCCTCATCATAGAAACATTCACAGTCCCTCTTGTATGCTGTGTACTTAATGTCAGGTTTGCAAGATATTTAGGTGCTACTTGCCACTATTAATAAAAAAACAAAAACAAAACTGAGGGCTGGGGGTGTAGCTCAGTGGTAAGTCATGACTCTAAACCAAAACCAGAAACAGCTGAGCTATACTCAGTATCTAACCAAGATTGCCAAATCCCAGTAAGGAAAGTTGGATGCCACGTACTAATGAATTTAGAAAGATAGTCCTTTACAACTATATATATATATATATATATATATATATACACACACACACACACACACACACACACATATATGTATGTATGTGTATATATATATATATATAAAGATTAGATGCACATTCATCCAAAAACACCTATACAGTTAAATGCATGTGCTCTTCAGATTGTTGAATATGCAAAACTGATTTTCTTTCTTTGGATAATCTGCTTAATCTCTCAAAACCTTATCCATCTGATGCATAAAATGGGACTAAAACAGCAGTGCTAACATGTTAATAAGACTAATGCATGTAAATCTTGGAAAGGATCAAACACTTAATAAATGGTAGTTTGTTGCAGGTGAAATGCACATACTTACCCTTGATTCTTTCTAGGATATATCTCACCCTTATTGAAATTTTAAAATGATGAAAGGAAGCGAAAGTTTGATTGCTGTATCCTAAACAGCCAAGCCACATAATTTTCTTTGAATGTTGTTTTTCTCCCCAAGATACATCCTAGTTTATAAGAATAGTGAGAAAAGAAACTGATATAGTATCAAAATTTATTTCTATATTCAGTAGATTTCAAATGAATAGATTTTTTTCCAAAAATTATATAGAAGGAGAGGAATATAGTAGTCAAAATTCCTTGGAAAATAGACTATGGAGAAAAGAATTAGAAATTTCTAAATGAATCTGGACTCATGGACATTGACCCCACTGATTTTGAATATTTTATTCTAACACTATCACTCACACAGGGGAAATATTAACTTGTTTTAAGAAGTTAATCTTTAACTATATTGACCTTACCTCAGAGTGCATTGATGTTATAGAAATAAAAACATCCTGATTATTTTTCTTCCTGGAAAGACCTCTACCCTTTTTTCCTTTGTTAAGTTTCATCCATGTGGCATTAAATTTTTTCTCATTAGCCAGAGTGGAATAAAAATCCCAGACCTAGACTGAGTCTCTATGAAGTTCTGCTATTTGAAAAATGATGCCATGGTTGATAACACAAAATTTCAGGAGTGTTAGCAATTGTTTACAGGGAAAGGAAATATTTACAGATGCAATAGATTTTTGGTCTGTTAGCTAGAGTTTTAATTTTTACTATATAAGTCTATTTCCCAATTTTAACTGTATTTTAATCTTGTATTTATTGCATAAATAAGGAAAATGTTTCCTAGATGGAAGTTTTTTTCTCTAACATATTCCTTTAGCTCATATACTTGGGCAACAAAAACTCTTTTCATTTTGTTTTTAAAGATTATTATATATAACTTTAAAATATGAAGATACAACAATAAGATTAAAAGGCTGAGTAAGCTAATCAAATGTGTTAATTTTAGTTAAATAATGTAACTTGTTTTACCCTCTATATTTACATATATAAATGTATATGTATGTATGTGTGTATGTATGTATGTGTGTGTATGTATGTGTGTGTATGTATGTATGTATATGTATATATATATAAAATCTTTTCTTTTTGCAGAACTTGGAATCAATTTTGATCATATATGGCAAAAAACCTTGACGGTGTTAAACCCAATGAAGCCAGCAGATGGCAGCATTATGAATGAAACTGATCTCACAGGACCCATCCTTTTTTGTATAGCCCTGGGAGCCACCCTGCTTCTGGTACTGTGCAACCATAAACACCAGATTTTAATGCTTGTCCTTGCCAGTATGTATTCTGAAAAAGATCTTTGTTAATTAAAAAAAGAAAGAAAGTATGTTGCTTTATGTAGTGAAAATTGTTTAATTTTTGACTTTTTAAAGTGAGAGAGATATTCAATTAATCAACCATAGTGACAAAAAGAAGCTGTTGTAGTGTATGAAAACAGACAAAAATATAAACTTAAAATTTAGAAAAATAAAACCACCAAATCAAATTTTCTTGTTACTAAGAAAAGACTGTCAATCAGGAATCATTTGAAGGAAAACATGGATTTGAGAAATAAAAGTCCTAAAGTTTAGTTCTTGTTTCCTATTAGATTTGTATTGTCCCACTGGACAAATCATTTCCCTTTGGTCATTATTTTCTTTGCTGTAGTATATCCTAAGAATATTTCTAACATCCTGTGAGATGTGAGATAGGTCTCCTTGTTTTTGATTAGGCTACTATGAATAAATTAAGGTGCAATGATAAGGTATGATTTGTTCAATCAACCTAACTCTTTTCACTATAATTTTAGTTTTCTAACTTCTATGAAAGCATTTTCTCCCTGACTTTACCATGTGTCTTGTGCATATTCTTTATATTTGGAAGTAATGATATTAAAGGTTATTGAAAAGGTTAAGAAAACCTAAGTTTGGAAGGTCCAGCTCATGTTTATAAAAGTGTTTCATTAATAAAAGGAAGAAGAAAATAGAGATGAGAAAAAAGCTATCATTTTATATCAAGGAGGGAATGACAATACATTAAAAATATAAGATGATTAAGCCTGTCTGAAAATTACAGTTTCATTAAAGCACAAACTGGCAGGGAAAATATTATAGGAAATTAAAGCTTCTAGGAAGAGCCCTTAAAATAGAGATTCATTCTTCTTACTACTATCCACTTCCTATAAAAAACTAATTTTCCCTAAATGTAGCTACAATTCTCAAAAATATCCTAGGATGTATTTGTAACTAAACAAATTTTAACTTTCCATATATTAATTTTATAATACCAATCAAAATGCTGATAGCAATCTGGTCTCTATATGGTATTATTGCCAATAACCATCACATCATGTTTATCCATTACAATAGTATAGTGATAATAATACAATGATATAGTGCTGAGAACACAAAAGTATGGTGATGATAATACAACAGGATAGTGATAACATCTTATTTTTTTTCTTTTTGCTACAGCTAATACAAATACTCTGTATCAATCATACATTAACAACTAGAGTTTTCATTTTGTCTTCAGTCTTTGTCACAGTAATTTGATAATCTTGGAATAAGCTGCTAATCATGGCAATGCCAATTAATCAAATAGTCAGAAACAATCAATTTAATATATTAACTCATCTTTCTTTTCCAATCCATTTGTGATATAACAGCTGTTTCTTTTTCTGTAGAAAATATTACTTTTATCATCCCTTAAAGGACAGCATTAATCTTATTAAGATATCTCTTGATGTATAATGTTGATTTGAGTTATTTAAATATCCTCTCTTATGTTTTAAATACAATAACAATATAGTCAAAAGAAACCTTAATGGGAATTGAGAAAATTCAGTCTGCCCTTAACTGCTTGAACTTTTGTTTCATATTTCTATGCCTTCATTTCTTTATTTTCTTTAAGACAAAAGGAATTTGAGTGACTCTTAAGTTGCCCTTTGGTTCTGAAATTATGGAAATACATATATATTTCATATATATGTTTGTATATTTATATATATATATAATATATATATTTCATATATATGTTTGTGTATATATATATATATAAATGTATAATATACATGTATATTTCATATACATGTATATGAAATAATGTTTGAATCTTTTAATGAAACTTTACCATTTGGAATTTTCTATTAGATGTACTTTACAATTGATTCTGATATATACAGAGCAAAAAAGACATTCCAAAATCTCCCCCTGGATATTAATTGAAGTAAGATTTAACTCAGAATCCATTTGATGCTAGGTTAACTGTGCCCTAGATATCTATAATTAAGGGATCATTTTATGGGCTGGTATAACTATTGTACAGTAAAAGCGAAGCTAACTTGGTATCAATACCTGAATCTCTTCACTATCTCTGAGATGTAAGATTCATAATAACATACTCATCATTTTTATGATTTCTGCTGACATAAGGCACAATTCTTTTAGTGGGATTTCTTCAGGTTGAAGGAAGCAAACGACAGGAAATAACTTCAAGCTCTGAACATAAATTTAGCTTTATTTGTTCTTTCTCCTTTCTGTTAATTAGCTTTCCATTAATGTGACTGAATACCTGATCTATTCATCTTATAAGGAGAAAAGGATTATTTTGCCTCACTGTTTCCAAGGTGCCAGTCCATGATCATTTGGCCTTCTTGTCTTTGAGCCTGTGGCAAGACAAAACATCATGGAGGATGAGTTTTGATGGAAAAGGCTGCTCATTTCATGGCACTTCATGGCAGCCAGGAAACAAAAGAGATAGACAGGAAAGGACCAGGGTCCCAATATTCCCTTCTAGGACACAACCATGTTCATCCTTCCATGCTCATCCATGGTGCCATATGTTGCTCCTCAAGCCTTTAACACCTGGGCTGTATCTGTATCCCTAACACCAAGAAAATGAGTAGTTTAAAATTACTTGTCCATTTATCCTTCCTGATGGAACTATGAGTGTGGTCTAGAAATGCAACATGCATGGGCAATATAAAAATAGTATAATAATTAGAAGAACATTAAATATTTTGAATCATGATGTTGTAATAAAGGGTAATTTTACAGGCAGGGTTGATCAGGAAGTATTTTGAAGTTAGAAAATAGTATCTGGGCTTTCTATTTTGAATATAAACCTGTGTTGGAATTTGAAACAGAATTTTAAAATGGCAGTATTACTAATATGCTTTGTAGAGATCTACAAGACTAAGTTGGAATTTTTATCGCTTTATTTCATTATTCACATACTCAACAAATATGGGGAGAAAATATAGTCTGTTTTATGAACTCTTCTCCTTATAGACAACCTATGGTAAATGTGTCTATATATTACACTGCCATATATATATGCCTAGCAGTTTTTAATCTTTCTGTTGTCTGTTTTTCTTGTCTTTCTCCAAGTATACTCATGATATTTGTTTTCAGAATCAGAATTTATACTACAGGCAGTATTTTTTCTGGAATTCCCAGTCTCCTGATGATGGTACTACAAAGATACAGAACAGCTTAAACTGACTCTCTGATCCTCTCTGCTCTGTTGTCATTCTGGTTTTCTCTCCATGTTGGTTGAGCATTTATCCTTTTTTCTTTGCTTTGTTTCAGGCAGGAAAAGTTCAATTTGGTTACGTGTATGGCATGAGTGCCATTGGCTGCCTTGGGATTCATGCCTTACTGAACTTGATGAGCTCTGCAGGGGTGTCATATGGCTGTGTGGCCAGTGTGCTAGGTTACTGCCTGCTCCCCATGGTCATCCTGTCCAGCTGTGCCATCTTCTTTTCATTACAGTAAGTGTCTGTGTGCACTGATGGACCCCACATGCATAATCATCATTAAGGCTTGCCAGACCAGTGCAAAAGTTAAGCTCTTTCTGATCATTTTGGCAATGGAATTGGGGAAACCATGTCTATTAAAAGCTACACATGGATTCAGAAAATTAGATTGGTTTTGGCTCAGGTGCTATTCCTATTTCCATGATTTAAAAAATAAATTAAGCCAAGCGATTTTTAAAGTTGGCACTTTCTAAGTTGCCACATTCTTCAGTGTGAACTATTGTCATGGGTAATATAACAACTACAGAAAATTCACTTATTTGATTTTGGAAGAGTAAATGCCTGCTGAACATTGACAAATTGCTTCAGCTCCCAGGCACTCTGCCTTCTAGGCTGGAAGCAACTGTTCTTTCTCAGCTTGTCTCCTTGCAGTGCAGAATTCCCAGGAACCCTGATGAGGATATTAATTCTGGAGAACTTTATAGCATATATACTCATTCAATACATTTTTAAAGTTTTCTTCCTTCACTTACACAGTTGATATTTGCAATTCAAAACTATGAATAAGGATACCATAGATACAAGCTTCTGTAGGGCACTTTCCAGCGTATCTGCCTATCACTACCACTTTGGTGAGAGAAAGCAAGTGATATCATGATTCTTGTCACCTGCCATGTTCCAAACCCACTTGGAAATAAATATTTGCCTTTAGTGTTCATTCATTCTTTTATATCCAAAGGAGAGACAAGTCTTAGGTTATTAATGACATTGGATAGGACATTAAGAATTTACCAGTGCAAGCATGAACAACTTACAAAAGCTTTTAATATTTTTGTGTTCATAGTTATAATTATTTTCATAATAAACAGTTGTTGTCATAACATTGTTGAGAATGCCTTAGCAGTACTCTTTTTGTTTAACATGGTCTCATTCTTAAAGTAATGTTCATTTAAAGCAATATTAATTTAGAGCAAACCCCTAGTTTATCATTGATCACTCAACATTTAAAAAAGAAGAAAATAACAGGAGATGGATACCTTGAATGCATTAATATAATGTGATTTATGTTTATTGAGTCTTATCCATGGAAAAAAAGTCCACATTTTGCATATTGTGTTCTTTAGCAAGTTGTTCCATTTACTGGGTTGCTTAGTACATAGGCTGGACATGATAGTACAGAGTTTGGGTTCTACTGCTACTTTGTCAGACACTTTGTAAAAGAATAGTATTTTGACCACCATTTAAAAATTCAAAGTTTTTAACATTATTTTCAGCAAAGTAGAGACTTAGGGCATTTTGGGGAGCTGCTTTAGACAGGAGCTACCTATACACTGTTAAGTCCTGAGTAAAGAGGTACTGAACTGGTATTGTACCCATTGCAATGCAATTGGACCTTACTTCTGCTAGGATAAGAGAGGTGTAGCTCCAGGAGTGGGCATCACCTGATGGGGTTGGATTACACCCACTAGTTTGTTGTAACCCTACCCCTTGTCTCACTTGAATGGCTTCTGCCAAATAAAACCTGGGTTCGGGGCATGCTCTTTCTATTTCTTGCCTGCCTTGCCCTCCTTGTGGAAGCTGTGGCTGAGCAGATGTCACTGAACCCAAAAAGGTACTTTCTGTGTCTATGTCTTTATTTAGTCAGCCAAAATTCACTTGGAGTAACCCTGATTGATTTAGTCGCATGTCCCCTCAGGACATTTTAAATGGTTCAGAGTATTAGGGGGAAAATAAAGAACTAAAACTCTTGAATTTGGTAAATCACCCAAAGTTTGCACTTTTTATTTTCATTCTGAAAGTATAAAGGATGATGTGTCTGAGAAATGTCTGAGAAAATCAACTTATTAAAAGGAAAGACTTATTTTGGCTCATGGTTTCAGTCAAAGGTTGCTTGGGTCCTTTGCTTTTGGGTTACGGAAAGTCAGAACACCATGGTAAGGAGCACATGGTAGAACAAAGCTGCTTACCTCATCACAGCTGAGAAGCAGAAAGAGAGAGAGAAAGGGGCTCCCAATATCCCCATTAAAGCCACGGCCCCAGTGACCTGATTTCCCCCACTAGGCCTCACCTTCTAAAGGTTCCAAGGCCTCCCAATAGTAACACAGGCTGGTGACCAAACCTTTAGTATTGAGCCTGGTGGGGACAGTTGGGATCCAAACCCTAACAGATGGTTTAAAAATATTTTAAATTATATTAAATGGGAATAACTATCTGACCTCTAAGACCATTAAAATTGCCTTTTTAGGCATATTACTATATCATTAAAATTAATTATATATAATTTTAAATCTTCCATCATGGAAACATACACATTATATCACTCCAGCAATTATTTCTAATTGGTTTTAATTAAACCAATTAATATAGTATTTGGTGCCATTAATATTTTTGTTTTATTAATAATCTAAAGTATTATAAGCTGCACTGTGCAATTTCTTATCTGTTTTACTTTTGTTCAATTATTAAAAGTTAGTATTTCTGTCATTCTCACAAATAATAAACAAATAAAATTCTAAACTTGAAAATATTCAAGTTTAGAATCAAATCAGGATCAAATGATGTTGTGTAGTTTGATGGTGGAAAGAACGATGCACTAGGAGTTAAAAGATCTTTGCCTAGCACCCACTTTGCCAGGTAACTATTGTCAAGTTACTTAATTGCTTTAAAGCTAGACACTAAATCCTGAGATTGTTCCTATCTCTTATGTCTTATTTTCCTAAATAATTATTTCTGTATTTTTGTACTATTATTATTTTGAGGAGGCAAGGGGACCCAGGGATGCTTTGCCACTGATCTGCATCTCCAGATCTTTTGAATTTTTATTTTGAGGCAGGGTTTTACTAAGTTGCGTAGGGCCTCACTAAGTTGCTAAGGCTGGCCTCAAACTTGTGATCCTCCTGCCTCACAATCCATTCTATTTTACACATGAGGAAAGAAATTTACTTTCTACCACTTCTACTTCCCTTTTTATTCTCCAGCTGGCTACACTAAACTATTTTATTTGTCCATTTGTTCTTAAAGTACAGATTGACTCCACAGTTACTTTTTGAAAATACCAATTTTACGAATTCTTTCCAGTATGGATGGATTAAAAAATTCTAAAAAGTCCTCATGTTAACCTATAAACTATGTACTTGGTGAGGCACTGGGAGGTCCCACAGATATGTGCTTTCCTATTCCATGGGTTCTCTATTTGAGCTGTGTCAGGGTTTTATATCTCTGACAAAAACCTGGGAGGTAGACCTGGGAGGAGTAGGTTACCCTGCTAGATTTGATCTCTATTTTATCTCTATTTACCTTTCCTCTCTGATCCAGTCATCTCACTTCTAATGTAAGGCAATTGTGTCCTTTGTCTTTGTTCCAGAGGCACCTTTGGAACCTTGTCAGCCCTGATCGTCATTGGCTGGTGTAGTCTCTCAGCCTCTAAGATCTTCATTTCGGCCTTGGACATGGAAGGACAGCAGCTTCTCATTGCCTATCCTTGTGCCTTACTTTATGGACTTTTCGCCCTCCTCACAGTCTTCTGAAGAATGTACGAGATGGCTTTGCAAGTCTCTTTTTTTTTTTTTTTTGCTGTTCGGGTTATTCTGGAAGTGTATTAGCATTCCAGTTGGGTGATATGATTTCTGTTTTATTACTGTTGAGAGAATAATAAGCAGAGAGGCAAAACAGCACTTAAGGGTGGTTCTTTAATGGCCTTTTTGGTTTGAATGATGTTTTGCTTTCCAATTTGGTGCATTAAAACATTGTAAAATATTTTAAAATTTAAAAAAAGATATAATTGCTGAATTGATGGACACTAGTTTTCTAAATAATTTCTGAGAAATTATAAGTAAATAAAATCATGCTTACTGTTTAGAAGAAATCTATAGTAAAGTCTTCTGAGAAGTGTTCATGACTGCTCAAGCTGTGCATATGTGGCTGAATATTGTGCAGTTTGGCACCTTGGGAGAGTTCAGAGGTAGGTTATTCAGGGTTTTATTTAGCAGAATGAAAAAACCTTCGATCTTTTAGTTCACTTACTTCAACAACTGTTCCTTGGTTCTGCTTAGATAATGTGTCAACTTTCTACTTTTTTAGTCCCTCGCTTCCATCTTACTTGGTTTAGATGCTATGGTCTTTGATTTAATTTCTCCCTTGCCTGGATCCTCAGTAAGCTTGCTGTTTTTCTCCCTAAATACATGAACATTACTAGAGGCAATCCCATTTCTTTCATGATAGTTATATTATCATATCTGAAATGGCTCCTCAGTACTCTCCTTGAAATTACTACATTTTCATAGTAAATTTGCTTTCATGCTAAGATGACTAAATCACATCAGTTCTTTACTGCTCACATCTTCAACAATTATTCCTCATTTCTCACTGTGGGTTGTTTATCTTTTTGTTTAAAAAGAAAAGAAAAGATAAGAAACAGAAGGAAAGTGTTTCATCTTCCCACCACCCTCTGTATCTACCTACATGCATTGTGACCCTCTGTCACTATCTTCTGCTCTTCACAATCAGCCCCTCCACTTGTATAACCAGTGTTTTCTCTTGACCTATCATTCATATCAGCACATAAAAAATGTTTCAATATCTCCTTTCTTAAAATTTAAATTTCCAATGTAGCTCATTTCTCTATTCCTTTTTGTCACAAAAATCCTTGAAAGATTTATCTGTTGTCTCTGCCTCTATTTTATCACCTGCTATTCTCACTTCCTCCAAGTCAAGAGTTCATCACCTTATCCATCAAGAACATACTTTATATACAGAGTTATAAAAAATTGTGCTGTATATGGGTAATAATGAATGTAATGCATTCCACTATTGTCATGTATTTAAAAAATAAATTAATTTGGGGCTGGGGATGTGGCTCAAGTGGTAGCGCGCTTACCTGGCATGCACCGGGCACTGGGTTCGATCCTCAGCACCACATAAAATAAAATAAAGATGTTGTGTCCACCGAAAACTAAAAAATAAATATAAAAAAATTCTCTCTCTCTCTAAAAATTAATTAATTAATTTATTAATTTTAAAAAATCACCTTTGTCAAATCAGGTCAGAAGAGATTTCTCTAAATTCAATGGTCAATTCTCAGTCTCATTTAATTTCAGCTCTTGGGGTCTCTATTGGATCCCTCTTCACCAGTCTCTCCCAGTGTTGGTGCTGAGGCCTTTACTCCTTCAGTTGACTTCTGAAGTGCCATGTTCTCTGTTGATTTTTTTTCTGTTACCTTACTGTTGGCTCCTTTTCAGTCTCCTTGACATTCCTTTCTCCCATTTTTAACCTCAAATCTCTTCTCTAATATTCATTTGTTATCTGAGTTCATTTAATTGCATAGCTTTAAAAATCTAATGACTCCAAAATTTCCATCTCCATCCAACACTCTCTTCTAAACTCTTGAATACATATCCAATTTATACTTAATACTTCCATTTGAGTTTTAATATAATAAGCTAAAAAATGTGAGATCTGGAATCAAACCCTTGATTTCTAACTATTCAACCTGTTCTCCTCAAATTTCCTCATCTTTTTCTTTGAGAACCAGAAATCTACCAGTGGCTCCATCTACAAGCTAGTAGTCAGTCTTTGTTACTCTGATTTTCATGTCAACATCTAGTCCATCAAGTATTTTGACTCTTTAATCAAATACTTCTCAAGCGTAAAATATGTTGCATGAGCTCCTTCATGGTCTCTTCTGTTGGCTAAGGAAAGAAATCTCCTAACTAATTTCCTACTTCCAGGCTTTCTCACCAGGAAGTTTTTTCTACATTTCAGTATGTGTGCTCCTATGAAAATGTAAATTTAATTATGTCATCCCAAGTCCAAGATCCTTTTACAGCTTTAATTTATATTTACAATAAAACTCAACCTGCTTTGTATAGCTCTACTTGTATTCAAAGAGTGGTCCCCAGAACAATAGCATGAGCATTCCCTGGAAGGTTGGTAGAAATTCAGAATCCCAGGCCCAGTCCCAGGCCTCATGAATTAGAGTCTGCATTTTTACAGGACCTCACATGATGTATATGCACATGAATGTTTCCTTAGCTAGCATTTGAACAACACTTGTGTTGCCTGCATGCTGTGACCAGGATTATCTTCTTAAAATTACCTCCTTCCATTCTTTCCCCTTCTCACCAGTTTTATTGTTTCTCAAATGACAAAATGTATCCACCTTAGTATACAGTCTACCTGCAACATCCTTCATCCAGATCTTTCACATTGTTCAGGTCTCTGTTCATATTATCACCTCCCCATGGAGGCCTTCACTGCTTGTTCATTTTGCAACAGTTCATCCACCTACCTTAGCTTAATCTCTCCTATTACCTTATATCTTAGGGTAATTATTTATTACTGAAATTACATTATCCAAACTTACTTTATTTTCTTCTTTCTTTATCTTCCTCTGTCCCTCTGGAAGATAAACAATATGAAGCCAAAAACTCCATGTCTATACAAAATTTATGACAAAGAACAGGAGATTAATCTTTGTTTAGAGTGTGAATGAATGAGCAAATTAATAAATGAATAAGACTGTGATTGGATATTAGTCATTATGGTGAACAAGACACCTGAAACTCTGGTCCTTTGAGAATGGGGAAAAACAGATAACAAAACAATAGAGAAACAAGGTAATTACAAAAGTGTGAAAAGCAGCTAAGGTATGAATATGTGAAAAAGAGGTCAGAATTGCAGTGCATGTTAGATTTCTATAGGTTAACAAACCATTATTGGATCAGTTAATTAAAAATTATGGCATCTGGAACTGGGGTTGTAACTCAGTGGTAGGTCACTTGCCTTGCATGCATGAGGCACTGGGTTCAAATATCAGCACCACATAAATATAAATAAATAAAGATATTGTGTCCACCTATAACTAAAAAAATATTTTTTAAAAATTATAGCATCTATATAAAAAGTCATGAGAAGAAAATACTAAGTATTGCTGGGGCTGGGGCTCAGTGGTAAAGTGCCTGCCTTGCATGTGTGAGGCACTGGGTTTGATCCTCAACACTACATAAAAATAAATAAAGATATTGTGTCCATCTATAACTAAAACAAAGTTTTTTAAAAAAGAAAATACTAAGTATTTCCATAAAAATAACAAAAATAAAAGTAACAAAATAACAATTCCTCATGACAGAATTGTTAAATACCTAAGAATTTATATTAATATGTATATTAATATTAATAAACAGAAATATAGATGGTCTATATGATAATTATAAAAAGTTAGAGGTATATTTTAAGTAAACTTGACTATAGAGACATATATATTATATCCCTGAATGATAAAACTGGAATTCATAAAGAATACCCCCCATATAAATGTGTCTATTTAATATAATTAAAACCAAAGAAGTATTTTGTTAGTAGTTAACAAGTTAAATCTAAGGTTAATCTGGAAACAAAGCAAATATGTAACTGTGAAAAATTAGAAACTATCTAAAAACATATTCCAATTGAAAGTGAGTTAGCTAAACTATTCTTCATCTCTGGGATTGACTGCTAGGTGACTATGAGACTATTTTGGAAGAAATCTTGCATCAGGAGATGCAGGTACTAAGTTTTCACAGTTTGGCTATTTTCTGAAGACCTACTATGGGTTTGTCTAAATGCTTTACATGTATTAGCTCACAATTTTATGCAGTGCGTTATCATTTCCTCCATTTAACAAGTAGGGCTACTAAGTTACAGAGAAGCTAATCATTATTCAGTGAATGCCTAGAATTTGATCAGCAAAGCTTGATTCCAGAGCCCATAACACTGCTTGCTACCACCTAGGAATGTGTCTACTGTTTAATCTACTCAAATTTATTCCTTCTTCTTGACCTTGGCTAATGCTATACAGGGTCAAAAGGCTTTAACTTCTGGGGGAAAATAAAACAATAATAAAATAGAAGAAAAATGTAGATTGTCATACAGAATTAAAATGGTACCTGAATGACTCCTGGACCTACTGCTGAACTCTAGTTTAAATAAATGAGGCAGATTCAGATCTAGTTAGCATGTGGATAGAAAAATTTCACAAAATGTAGTTCTTTCCCACCATTCCAAAATAGATGAGCATTATATAGATTTGTGTAGATTGGAGGTATTTCTCTTATTAATTTTAAAAACAAATTATGAAATTTATTTGTGGTGAGAAGAGTGGGTTTTATAGGACAAATGATAAAGTGAATGGAAACTCATGGAGTACATTACATAAATAGAAATATCTTTTTGTTTTAATAGACCCCAGCAAAGATAGTCTCTCTTTTCCTCAAATGCTTTCAATTTCTTTTATCTGAGAATGTAACATTTTTTCACTTTTCTGTCTTTACTGGTTGGATAAAAGTTACACATTATGTGTGAAGGATAAATGGCACATTTGGAGTCAAGAGATGGCCTTTATTTCTACGGGAATGACTGGGGACATGTGCTGAAAATAAAAGTCCTGAATTACTCAGACTCAAGCGCCCCAGTTCACAACAGTTTAACTAGGGCAATGGCCTTTGTAACATTTGATGACAGATGCTTTTCTAACCTGCTCTGCCTCCAAGTG